GGGGGGAAGGAATGGACTTTACCTTTGCAAGCCTATTTTCTGTCATATCACAGAGTCAGCAAGGCATAAGCTGGCCACAGGCCCCTTCAGGACGCAGCAGATCTCCACAGAAGTGGAGTTACAGACATTCTGCGACACTGACTATTTATTATGATGTAAAACAACTGGTACTATGCAAGAAGACACGGAAAGAGTTCTCATAACATCTGAATTGGTACTGGCATAGGACAGACATAGATCAATGCATCACCACTGAGAATCTAAAAGAAACCCTCACATTTACAGTCAATTGATTTTCAATACGAGTGTCAAATAACTGAATGAGACAGTAATAGTCTTTTTAACAAATGGTACAGGGACAACTGGATATCCACATGCAAAAGAACAAAATTCGACCTCTACCTCATACAACATATATATAAAACTAACTAAGTGAAAGAGCTAAACCTACAAAGTTCTTAGAAGAAAACACAGGCGTGTGTCTTCATGACTGGATCTGGCACTTGTTTCTTAGGGCAGTAAAAGACAGAAATAGATTAACTGAACTTCATCAAAATTAAAAACTTCTACTCTTCAAAAGACACCATCAAGAAGGTAAGAAGGCAAGCTCCTGAACAGGAGGAAATACTTGAAAATCCTACATCTGATCGAAGGCTTGCACCCAGGATACAAAAAGGACTCTGACAATTCAATCATAAAAAGACAGCCCAATTTGAAAATGGGCAAAAACCTAAACAGACAGGTCTTCAAAGAAGATACACAGATAAGCACATGAAAAGATCCCCAACATTCTTAGTCATCAGAAAAATGCAAATCAAAGCCACAACGAGATGCCAGTTCACACCTACCAGGAGAGCTGATGACCAGTGATGACAGGAATGCATAGAAATTGGGAGAATTATACACTTTGGATAAAAATGTTAGATGGTGCAGCCACTCTGGAAAACAGTATGGCAGGTCCTCAGAAGGTTAAACAGAGTTACCATATGACCCATATGACACCATTTCCATTCTTAAGTATATTCCCCAAAGAAATGGGAACATGTTTACACCAAAACTTGGACAGAAATGTTCACAGCAGCATTATTAGCAATAGCCAAAAAGCAGAGGCAACCCAAAGGTCCATCAACTGATGGATGGATAAATGGTTTAGCCCCACAACCGACTACTGTTCGACAATAAACAGAAATGGAAATACTGACAAGCGCTGTAACATGGATGAACCTTGAAGACGTGTTGTCAAATGAAAAAAGCTAATCATGAAGGACTGCAGAGCATGTGATTCCATTCCTGGGAAATACCCAGAACAGTCACATCTGTAGAGACAGAAGTCAGACTAGTGGTTGCCGGGGGGTGGGGGGGCTGCGGTGCTGGGGGTGATGGCCAAGGGATGCAGGCTTTCTTTTTGGGGTGATGGGAATGTTCTAAAATTGATTGTGGTGACAGCTACACATCTCTGAACATACTAGGAGATACTAACGATGCATCCTAAATGGGTGAATTATATGATACGTGAATATTTTTCTTTTTTGGTGGAGGGAAGTAATTTTTACTTATTTATTTTTAGAGGAGGTACAGGGGATCGAACCCAGGACCTTGTGTATGCTAAGCATGCACTCTACCACTTGAGTTATGCAACCCCCCTATAATATGTGAATGATATCTCAACAAAGTTAAAAAAAAAAATCCAAAGGCAGGATCTAGACAATTTTCTTAATTCTCTATTTTGGGTGTACAGATGTGATCTGAACTTCTCCATGCTTTGACAACATGTCTAAAATGAATAGAAAATGAAGGCAATGTCTAACTTCAACTGGTTTGTATAATGACCTTTCTGCACAAGGTATTCTGAAATCCATGAAATAAATACACACAGGTTCTATATCCATTCACAAAAGTGAAGATGAGACATGACAATTTTCTGGAACATTCCATGAAACATTATCCTCTGATTTTATCTAGCTTGCCTCATTGTGGTGAGAGATCACTAAAACATACTGTTTAATAGGAAAAAAAAGTTAACTTCTGTGAGGAAAGAGGTATAATTCTCAACTTCTCTAAGGGTAAATATTATAAGAAAAAAATAAAGAATGGCAGAATGAAAGTCAACATTTAAGAAACAAGTGCATTATAAAGATAATAAAAGTGAAATTATAATGAAGATGCAAAAGAAAGCTGTCCCTGAAAAGCTGGTGGCCTGCAACACTCTGCGCTGCACGTTCACGGCCGACGTGCTGAATTTCATACATACTGGGCTCGCAGTTTGATGTGG